CCATGACTAAAGCCTCCGGGCAGGGTGGTCGCTTGTTTCGATAGGCCCCCTCGGGGTCGGCAAGTGCCTGAAGACAAATTCCACCATGACTAAGGCCTACGGGCTGGGTGGTCGCTTGTTTAGTACACCCCTTGGGATGGGCAGGCTGACCCCCTGTTTCGAACATCCCTCGGATTGGGTGGGCAAGTGCGAAGAGACGGATAGCTCGAGCAGACCTCGGAGGCAAGTCGATGATTTCTATTCGGTTCTGTTTGATCTGGTATTATTGCATATTTGTTCCTAACCCAGTGGTAGGTTAAGGGAAGCCAAAATCCACCATGACTAAGGCTTCCGGGCTGGGTGGTTGATCCTAGTGTTGGGTCGTGAAGACACGGATAGTTCGAGCAGACCTCGGAGGCAGGTCGATGGTTTCTTCTTGATTATATTTGATTTGTTATCATTGTACATTTGTTCCTAACCTAGTGGCAGGTTGAGAGAGGATAAATTCCACCACGAGTAAGGCCTCCGGGCTGGGTGGTCGATCCTAGTGTTGGGTCGTGAAGACATGGTAGCTCGAGCAGACCTCGGAGGCAGGTCGATGATTTCTTCTTGATTATATTTGGTTTGTTATCATTGTACATTTGTTCCTAACCTAGTGGCAGGTTGAGAGAAGACAAAATCCACCATGACTAAGGCCTCCGGGCTGGGTGGTCGATCCTAGTGTTGGCTAACAGATTTATTTGATTTGGTTTCGTGCTATTTATGTCTCTAACCTCAGTGGTATGTCGACCGATTTCGTTATGGGTAATTTGAGCAGATGGGTGGTTTTATTTAGTTTAGTTTTGCTGTATTTGTGATTTCGACCCCAGTGGCAGATCAGATGCATTCATTTTTTCTCGAGCAGGTTGATTGTTGATTCTGGTTTATCGAATTCATTTTTCGACCCCAGTGGTGGGTTAGGTGTATTCATTATGGCTCGAGCAGGTTGACTGTTGATTCTGATTTATCGAAATTATTTTTCGACCCCAGTGGCGGATCAGGTATATTCATTTTTGCTCGAGCAGGTTGTTTGTTGATTCTGGTTTATCGAATTAATTTTTCGACCCCAGTGGCGGGTCAGGTATATTCATTTTTTCTCGAGCAGGTTGTTTGTTGATTCGGGTTTATCGAATTGATTTTTCGACCCTAGTGGCGGGTCAGGTATATTCATTTTTGCTCGAGCAGGTTGTTTGTTGATTCGGGTTTATCGAATTGATTTTTCGACCCCAGTGGCGGGTCAGGTATATTCATTTTTGCTCGAG